GATGAGTTGTCTTGTTTCCAACGTCTTTTTCAAAGCCTCTGGTAATACCAGTGTTCATTCTAAACAGCACAAAGGGATATATTTCACATCAGTTTGGATCTTTAGTGTAGGAGGGGACATTTAATGGTAAAGAAAATTTGCTTTAGCTTAGAAAGTACCTTATGACAACTTCATGTAAATCTATCAGCGGTCCATAATGCGATCTCCTTAAATTACCAGAATTACCCACCACAGCACAAGTCCTGCAGTGGTCATATTTGGGTTGTATAACATCTGGATTCTGTGGGAAGATCTGAAACAAGTTGGCCACCGTTGTTTCATAAACTCTGAAGCTACGGCTTTCAGCCTGCAAATCCTGTCAGACATTTAAAATAAACTTTGTTGTTAGACCAAATGAGCTGGGGGGGGGAAGTAAAAATGTCATCCTTTCCTGGTGACTACTTACCTTCCACCAGTTGAATTCATTCTGTGAGAGGTTTAAGTTTGCAGTCAAAAATGGTTGAACACTTCCATTCGATTGATCCAGAAGCAACTGCTTATAGTCTGATAAACATTTTATGCAAGCACACAGCTTTTGGTCCACAGCATAATGAGTCAAATGGTAGCCCGTTTTGAAAAACACACCAATACCAGTGTAAAACAGCAGGAAAACCAGCACCTTTGATTTTGAAATCATTCTAGATGTTTGACTGGGAAACATTAACAATCTGCAGACAGAGTGTGTGGAGATATAATCAGCAAAGTATAACAAGTTATAGTTTAGAAAGTCATCATATATAAAGCAACGTTACAACACACTTAGCCATGTCTCTTTTGTGATAACATTTCTATTCACTTATAAGATAATAAAGAAAATTACATCAGCGAAGATTAAGCTGTTTTTACCGCATCATCTGGTAAAATATGATACTTTTATAAATGACTTACCCGATCTACGAGGAAATCGCTTTCTGGTTCAGTTTCATATAATACACGTACAAACGATGCGTAGACTCTATCGGTGAGAGCTTTTTCACCGTTTCACTCACAGGTAACAAGCGTGATATACT